GGATGACTAGGTCTAATTTTGTTTTGTTTTTCTTTTGATATTCCTGATTAATCTAAAGGTTTTCACCACATATTTAAATTTTTATATTTAATTTTAAACACTATTAGCCATAGGATTTCAGACATTGGTCAAGATCAGAATTGTCTTTAGAAATTCACAGTATTCAGTAGAAATGGGATCTGTCAAACCAATGGATAAACATGAAAGTTGAAACATTAAATATGTTTTAAAGGTCATATCTATTATCATAATTTGGCCTGGCAACCGTTGCCATTAGCAGCACCAGGTAGATTCATTAGCATGAGCTACCATTAGCGTTTGTGTAAGCAGCAATTGTGTTGCACCCACTTGTTACTTTTTTCTTGTCAGCAACCTCCGTGGGGAAGATAACATTAACCTTTTGTGGTTTCCATAAAATCCTACCATTTTTATTCATACATGCTGTTTTTTTTTTTAATCTGTTGTACTTGTGCATTTAATAGTGGAACAGGCAAATGTTAGAGTCATGGCCATTTAGTATTTTAAAGTCCTTGGGCATTATATTTATTAGGCATTTATGTGACCAATATCATTTTGGGCTTTAGGCTATACGCTATGTTTGCCTTGGAGTTAATCAGCCTTGGAAATTAAAGTGCACTTAATTCAGCATAATTGTCACAGTATATTAGCATATTCAGGAAAGGTTTATGGTAAAAAATAATGTGCCTTATATGAACGTCTTTTTGAAATGAGCTTGACATGTCAAACCCCAATATTTCCCTAGGAATCAATAAATTTGTAACCCTGTTTTTTAAGTCTGCACTGGTCCTATTGCTTACAAGCTTTCTTCCTCTCCACTCTGCTGCTCACTATTACAAGGCAGTTAAACCATTCAAACTCTGACAGCTACAGACCCGAGGCCTCCTGGGCTGCACATGCTTCATGCTTCTGGAGATGTACCAAGAGTGTAAATGTGTTGGGAAAACAGGATTTTTGATGGAGTTTTTAAATTCCAGTCTTATGTTTTGTTGCGTTTTGTTGTTTTTGTTTTTCTCCCAGGCCACTGACACACCAGAAGATCGGAACAACCCGGTGTTGCTTTACAACAAGATGGAACTGGGGGAGCTGAACAGAAACTTCACTCTTGAAATTGACTCTCAGGCAATTCTAACATCTTGGCTTGCAAGCATTTCTGTTATTTAAAGTTGGTGTTAAATATCTTAAACTCTTTTTGTTTTGTTTTGGCTCAACCTGAAGAAATTCAACTGGAGTTACTTCACAGCTAAGATAATGGACACCGTGAACATCAGCGTTCCTGAATCGGAGAAAATCATCAACTACTCCCCAAACTATTACAGAAGACTCAACTTTGTATTAGCCAAGTACACCAAGAGGTGTGTAAGATTATACAAATTACATGGTTATTGTCTTCCAGAGAAATTGCTTACCTTTGCAGTAATTGCATGCGTTTCTGTCGAGGTGAGAGTCTCAAGATGCGGTCAGAAAAATCTGGTCACACTCTGCAGTTAGATCACTGCAGGATCATGTCGATGTCCTTGACCTTGCTGCGTTTCCTTTTTTGCAGAGATCTGCAGAACTACATGGTTTGGCGGTTTGCTATGAACATGGTGGTGGGGATGAGTCGAGCTTACAGAGACACCAGGAAAGCTTTCCGCAAGGTACGCAGCCTGATATTACCCTGACATGTTGACTTGGGAAAACTACTTTCATGAATGTCCTTGCAATGTCTTTATAACAATATCAAGCTGGAAAGTTATTGTACAGTGGTTAAAATGTACTTGTAGTTATTAAAAACAAAACATTGCGATAGTTTCATAGCTGTTGAAATTAAAAAAAAAACACATAGACTCTGAAATCAAAAAAAGAAAGATGTCATCATAAATTAATATGCTGGACTGTTTCTTAAAATTTCATTAATGAAGTTATGTGATATTCTCCAAGTCCTTTATTTGTCCAATGACAGTACAGGTTGAATTGAATTACTAATGATGGTAGAATCATGTTACCTGCTAATAAAACCCGTCAACAGCTTCTCATTTTGATGCTACACAGATTTTAATGAATAGAAAAACATGTCGGATTTGTATAAAAAGTAAAACACATTCTGTGTATCACAACTGTCTTGCAAAGGCTTTCATAAATTTTCTCACACTGTCACATTAAGAAAGAAAATTGATTTTATGTGACTAACACGAAATAGTGCAGAAGTGTAAAAAAAAAAAAAAACCAACTATACATGACTTGCACAATTTGAGTGCGCATTTTGTATTCAGCCCATTTTACTCTGATGCTCTCCCCCAAAATATCCAATACAAGTAATGACCTTCAGAAGCCACATAATAATGTGAAATATTAGTTAAGGAAGCAGAAAGTCCACGGTATTTCTGGCGTAGCAGCAAAAGTCCATTGGCTCAAGTGGGAGAATCTGAGACTGTTGGCCTTGAGCTCTGTTGAAATGACTGAACAGGAGCAGAGAGGCTGGTTAAAATCTACTGAGGAAAGTACAGAGCATTCCTAGAATAAATCCTACAAAAGGCATCAAAAGACTTGAGCTTGAGGAGGAGGTTTACCTCCCTGCAGGACAATGACCGTAAACATCGCACCACCAATGGACTGGTTTGGATTCCAGTCTGTCATGGCCAGATTCCCTTCAACTTTTATGTGTATGGCTTATGAACTTTTTCATAACCCATCATTTTTCTTTTGCTCCACTTCCTAAAATGGAAATCAGTTTCATTTGAACACAAATAAGATCTTGCCATAAACTTTCTCCTTCACTCACAAATTTTCTGTCACTACCTTCCAAATAGGCTCTGTCTGGGACAACATCAGAGGTGGCCGTGTGGCGACAGTGCGCACTGTATGTCAACAACAACCTGGACAAAGCTGTGGGACGACTGTATGTGCAGGAGGCTTTCTCTGAGAAGAGCAAAGAGCTGGTAGGTAGAGGCTGAACTGGACCAACTTTTGTCAAATTAAAAAAAGCTTTATTGAACAGCTTTCTTTGGCAAGCTGAACTGATGACATAAAAATAGTGAGTGTTTTTATGTACGAGATGGTTTAAGAGACATCTGTAATTTTGTCACCTGTCTCGTGTCTGTGCCTCAGTGTTGTCGTGTTTGCATCCACTGGAAGCAGCTGAATGAGGTGTCCTTGTTATCATGCTCACACCACCTACGCTGTAAATCTCAACTCTGTGTGTGTGTGTGTGTGTGTGCGCGCACATGCAGGCTTTGCCACAATACTGTGTCGTGTATGAGTGACACCGTCATAACTCTTAAGTATCTCAACTTCCATAAAGATGTTTGCCTACTCAGACAAATCCCATTTCCCTGCTGTGTGTGTGTGTGTGTGTGTTTGTTTTTAATACCTTGTGGGGACCATTTTCCTGACACTACATTGTGGGGACCCACTGCTCCTTGTGGGGACCGAAGCCTGATCCCCACATGGGGAAGCACTGTTTTTGAGTCAGGGATTAGATTTAGGATGAAGGTGTGAATTGAGTTAGGGTTTAGGATAAGGGTAAAGTTTAGGCTGTAGAAATAAATGGAAGTTGATAGAAAGTCACCACAAAGATGGCCACACAAACATGCATGTTTGCATTTGTGTGTGTATTTGGTTAAGTGAGAAGTGACACATGGCTGCTCTGAACATCCAGCTACGTATCTGCTTCCCCCATTCCTCAAATTCATGACCCAGCATAAAGTGTGAGTTGAAAAACAGCTGCCACATATTTTAGTACAAACATGTATACTTCATGACAAAAATCTCTCAGCAGGGAGTGCTGTTACATTAATATGCAACCATAATGAACTTATTTGATTCTTGATGCAACCCTGTTTTAACTCTTCGTTTAAACAGAGTATCTGTACAGAGGAGGATTTAGGGCCTCCTCTGACTTTAATCTCAAAATTCTGACTTTTCTTGTCTCAAAAAAAAGTCTTTAAAGCAGATGGGCACCAGGAAACTCTTTTGCTCTCCTATTAATGAATGGGTGTCTTTGGAAATTCCTCAGCCATTAAAAAGCTGGCTTAAATCCAACATGTTCCTCCAGAAAGTTTGTTTTCCTCATCCACAACTTGCATCTTGGTGAGTGAAATTGTTTCCTCCGAGGTGCCCATCTGCTTAAGTCACAACTGAGGAAAAAAAAACAGAATTCTGAGATTAAAGTAATTAATCTTTTTCATATAGATGAATACATTATAACTGGAAGAAATTATTTCCAGGAGGAAATGTGTATAGCAATTAGATCATAATTTATAAAGCATATATTGTCCTGTGGGAAGAAGTTGATCAGTCATCCAGATCACCAGACCATCTCCTTACACAAATACTTTGTCCAATTATTAGTGATCAAGAGATCAGTGAACATGTACTAGAACATTAATTAATAAATAAGCACTCTAAGCCTATAAGCAACATGTTTCTTGTTTAGCTCTAGTTTCAGCTGCTCACCATGCATATCTGATATAAATACATCTAAGTGGAAGCTTTCATTGTAAAACTAAGTTGAAATAAGTGATGGTGTATTGTGAAATTTGTACAAACTGCATGTGTCCACACACAACAATCTCCCCTAAAGGCTTGTCGGAAAAACTGTGTGGTCTCTGCCAGTTTGTGGCAAACCACAACCTTTTTAAAAGGATTGTGCAATGAGTAAGCAAGGGGTCCACTAATGTGACGAGATGAGGGGTTTTTGGGTTTTCTCTTGCTGTGGTCTCAGAGTAGGTCTCAGTTCATTTAATTCTTTATGTGAAGCAATGCATTTAAAAATGTGGAAACTCTTGGGGGTGACATTACAAAAAAAAGCCTCAAGGAAAAAAACAAGTTTTTTGTCAAGCACACATTGCTTGTAATGCTAGTTTTAAAACAAGGTATAATGACATTAGTGTCGATTAACCTAAGTTTTATATTTATATAAAGTTGTTTTTCCTTCTCTTGGTTGTAAGATCATACTTTTTGTTTTTAAAATCCCTCCCTATTATGTCTCGAAAAAGAATTGTTCATTCAAAGTAAAAAGGCATTTTTTTTCCTCACTGTTTGAAGTTAAATTAGACCAAACATCTCTTGATCAGTTAGAATAACCAAAATTAGTTACATTCATTACATAACAGAAAACTTAGCGGAAACATTTTTTCAAAGTTTTTTTTTTGTAGCTTTCTTGAAATCCCAAAGTTTTCATCTCTTTAAAGATATTGTCATTCCTAAGTCTTTCAACACTAAGGGAAAGCTCAGATTATTTCCTGACTTTGGAAACTGACAGATCAACTAACAATGACATTTGTTGTTATAGCCTGAAAAACAATGGAAAAAGTTCAACAAATATTTAAATTTGTTTTAGCCAAGTCTATGGTCAAGTCCTCGGGAATTCTGATCGAAATACTAACATTTTCAGAATAACGTATTAAATAAATTGCTGAACTTTCAGAATTAAAAAAAATCAGTAAGACAATGAATTTGTCTAGTTTTACCATTTCTCAATTTCAATTTTATAATTTTTTTTTTTCCAGTTTGTATGTCTATTTAAATTCACACAGTTATTTTATTTATTTATTTTTTTTTCCTCAATTGAACACTTTTTCTGTACAGGAGGTATTTTTAAAATCATCATGACAAGGTTCATTAATTACAAATTAATGAACAGTCTAATATGCAAGTCTGAATCGTTCTGGTATGTGGATATGAAAGGCCTAATCATTTTAGGAAGTGTGTTAATATTTTGACAGAAGTTATATTTGTCTTATTTCTGATCCAATTTGAGTTGATGAACAGAAACAAACGGCAGACCAGAGAACCTTTTTATGATGCATTTTCCTGTTCCATCATTGGCATCTTGTGACATTTGCTCTCTTTGGTGTGTTGGGAGATTAGATGGAGGAGATGATTAAAGATATTCGGGAAGTTTTCATTAGTAACCTTAATGACCTCGCCTGGATGGATGAAGAGACCAAAAAAGCAGCAGAAGAGAAGGTGTGAATTTAATTTTCAAGAATCAACTTATTTGTATTTAGAACGACCAGTAAACCAGGTTTATTCACATTTTCTGTTTTTTTGCCAGGCCCGAGCTATCCGTGAACGCATTGGTTATTCTGAAGACATCATGGATGACAAATATCTAAACAATGAGTACAAAGATGTGAGTATTTGTGGGGGAAAAAAAACACTGTTATCCATATTTCACTAAGTTCTTTGTAACAGAAAATACTTTAGGAAAGTTGCATTTCTTATCGTCGCTAAAACATCCCAGTGAATATTTGACTGTAACGAGTTTCCCTCGTGAATACATGACCGAGTGTTGACGGCT